TTTTAAGTAATCTCTACACCCAACATGGGACTTGAACTCATGACGCGAGATCAAGAGTCACGCACTCTACTAACTGAGTCAGCCAGGTGCCCCTAATTGTAGACCTTTTAATCAATGTTATACAACATTTAAAAAACATTTTAGGGGTGCCTGGGTGGCTCAGTCGGTTGAGCATCTGACTTCGGCTCAGGTCATGATCTCATGGCCTGTGAGTTGGAGCTCCACGTTGGGCTCTGTTCTGACAGCTCAGAGCCTTGAGCCTGCTTCGGATTCTGTGTCTCCCTCTCTCTCTGCCCTTCTGCTGCTCATGCTCTGTCTCTCCCTCTCTCAAAAATAGATAAACATTCAAAAAAAATTTTTTTTTAAATAAAAGTAAAAACATTTTAAGTCAGGGGAGGGGCAGAGAAAGAGGGAGAGAGAGAATCCCAAGCAGGCTCCATGCTGCCAGCACGGAGCCTGATGCGGGGCTAGAAACCACAAACCGTGAGATCATGACCTGAGCCAAAACCAAGAATCAGATGGTCAACTGACTGAGACATCCAGGCGCCCCTATAAAACTTTTTTTAATGTATAGAATTTCTTTTTCCAAGTCCTCCAGTTCAAATTAATAGTTTGTTTCTAGGTGAGCTACATGGAAATTTACTGTGAAAGAGTACGAGACCTGCTGAATCCAAAAAACAAGGGTCATTTGCGTGTGCGTGAACATCCGCTTCTTGGCCCGTATGTGGAGGATCTGTCCAAGCTGGCAGTCACTTCCTACACAGACATTGCTGACCTCATGGATGCTGGGAACAAAGCCAGGTATGGTAGAAATAGACTCATGACTGAGGGGTTTGGTACATTTTCGGGTCCTTTGCTCCCAGTTAAGGGTTTGAGATCACATAGCCATGAAAGTTGCTTTAATTGTGGATCCTCTGATCCTTTGGCCGTGCTGGAGAAAGAAGTGAGGGCTTCAGCGTATTGGGCATCTTTCTTCTCACCAAAACAGTGCGGTGCTGAAGTGCATCAGAACTTTGATTAAATTTTAGTATCTTGATTTTGATGAAGTCGTGGTAAAATGTTGGATATCATGTGCCTATGGTAGTAATCGATTGTGGAATAAAGAATAAAAACTAAATGCCTTGGTGGTTCCTAAAGGGACAACTGAAGTATGAGAAATGATTCTGACGTGGTACCTTTGGAGTTGGGGGTGGGTTGATAGGCTCACAAATAAGGTGCATTGAGAACAGTTTGTGTAAGTGACAATCTCACGATCTGTGAAGAGGTTTAAAGCTGTTGCTTTTTGTGCTTATGATGTGGAGCCTGCTGTCTGTTTTAACTTTCATCTAAGAATTCTACTGTCATATGTCACCATTATGTTTATTTAGGACAGTGGCAGCTACCAACATGAATGAAACAAGTAGCCGTTCCCATGCTGTGTTTACCATTGTTTTCACCCAGAAGAAACATGATACTGAGACCAACCTTTCCACTGAGAAGGTAGGACAACTTCAGTGTCTAGGCTTGAGTTGTGTAGGACGGGAAACTTCAGGAGTCCTTGCTACCCTCTGCATCTTATGGAGGGCAGAAAGTTGCTGTTTTACTCAACGGAGAATATTTTATATCTTCTACTTGTCATTTCTGTTCCTACTCTGAACCAATTTTGAGCGTGGGTTTTGAGTGAAATCGCAAGATAGAAAGTAGGGTTAAGAAAAAACAATTCAAGACTTTGGGTCTCAAAAACTACTTTGTGCAAGAGAGTTCAGCAGTTCTGTGGGGAGAAAATCCTTCCCTTTTTTCTTGACTAGAACCTCTTTATTACTTTACTAGCTTGTTTGGTATGTGTATTTTTTTTTTCTTTTTGAGCTCTGATAATGTGGTGTGGGATTAAATATTTAAGCAAACAGTTAAGCAGACAAGGTCTGTTTTTCCTTGGAAAATAAATAACTGCACAGCATTCCTGAGGTTTTTCAAATACCTTGCTTGTTAATGTCTCGTTTTCTACACCGTTCAATAGAGTAGGCTCTGGAATTAAACGGCTTGCCTCAGATCCTGCCTCTACTACTTTGCAGCACTGTTACCTTGGGCAAATTACTTAACCTCTTTGTACCTTAGTTTCCCGAACCTCATAGGTTTGTTAAGATGATTACATATTGGTACAGGTTAGTGCACATAGAGCCTGGCTCAGAGCCTGGTGTATTCACTCAATAAATGTGGATTTTATTGTTATTATTGTTAGTAGTAGATTTATGTTAAATTCTTCTCTGCCTACATACCTAAGTAGCATGTGGCTGGCTTTTTAAACCTGAAGTTAGATTTAAAAAGACATTTTTTTTATATATGTTTTCTAGTGTTTATTTTTGAGAGAGAGACAGAGTGCAAGCTGGGGAGGGGCAGAGAGAGAGAGAGAGAGGGAGACACAGAATCTGAAGCAGACTCCAGGCTCTGAGCTGTCAGCACAGAGCCCGACACGGGGCTCGAACTCACAAACTGCGAGATCATGACCTGAGCTGACATCGGACACTTAACCGACTGAGACACTCAGGTGCCCCTTAATGTTTATTTTTGAGAGAGAGAGAGAGTGAGCATGTGCATGCACTAGTGGGGAGAAGCAGAAAGAGAGGGAGACACAGAATCCGAAGCAGGCTCCAGGCTCTGAGCTATCAGCACAGAGCCCAATACGGGGCTCGAACCCACGAATCAAGGGATAATGACCTAAACTGAAGTCAGACACTTAATTGACTGAGCCAGCCAGGTGCCGCTGAAGTTAGATTTTATTATACTGGCAACAAAAAAAGATCCTTTGCCTTATTAACTGAGTACTTTATGCTAACTGGTATCACTAAAAACTAGAATCACTTTTTACTTGGTGACTTGTCTGTTTTTAGCTGAAAATTATTTTAGAAAACATGGTCTTCACATAGGTGGTCAAATAACTTGACACGGCTTAGCTAGTTACAGTATTAATGTGATTTAGTACATCCAGTGTGAAAGTAGTTTTTCCATGATGTCACATCCACAAAAATAACGATGTTAACATAACCAAAGCTTCTTTGATCATCCATTTTGGATACTTTTGTCTACCTTTCCTGAATGTTTTGTTTGTTTGTTTGTTTTTTACAACTTCACTGAGGTATTGTTGAAGTACAATGAACCACACCTGTTTAAAGAGTAAAATTGGATTGCTGTATATGCACCTGTAAAACCAGTGTCATAATCCAAGTAACCACTTCTTTACCCTGGAAAGTTGCCTCATGTTGCTTTATAATCCTACTGTACCACTCCTTCCACCCTGATACTCGGGCAGTTCTCATCTGCCTTTTGTCACGACAGATCAACTGACATTTTCCAGCATTTTATATAAGTGGAGTTTTATAGTATGTACTGTTCTCTGGCCTCGCTTCTTTCACTCAGCATAATTTTGAAGTTCATTTGTGTTGTTGTTACATCAGTAGTTCACTCCTTTTCATTGCTGGCTAGTATTCTGTTACAAAGATCTATCACGGTTTGTGCAATAACTCATCTGTTGGTGGGCATTGAAATTGTTTCTAGTTTTTGATTGTTTAAATGAAGATGCTGTAACCATGTGCGTGCAAGCCTTCGTGTAGATATTTGCTTTTGTTTCTCTTGGTAAATGCCTAGGAGTGGAATGGTTGAGTCTTTTGGTAGGTATATGTCTCTGCTAAACTGTCTTCCAAAGTGATTATATCATTTTACATCCCACCAGCAGTGTGTGAGAGTTCTAGTTGCCGGGGCTTCATATTTAATATGCCGTTTAATGGATTAATGGGTTTTATATATTTTTATGCCATGCCATTGTAAAATACATGTACCCTAAAATTACTTGTTTTGAACCAAGATAATTGCTGCGAACTTTTGTGCATGCTCTGTGTCTTGGGCCATCTGTAAAAAAGCCCTAATATTTGTAGTCTTCATGCCTCATTTTTAATTTCCTGCCTCTTAGTGTTTTCTGGTTCTACCTTGCTTGTTTCTTCTGAATTGCCCCAATGTCTTGTTCTTTACCAGGTCAGTAAAATCAGCTTGGTGGATCTAGCAGGAAGTGAACGAGCTGATTCCACTGGTGCCAAAGGGACTCGATTAAAGGTATTTATTTTACCAAACAATTGTACCAGTCAATAAATGTTCTATAACATAGGTCAGCAAACTATGACCAGTAGGTCACATTTGGCCCACTGTCCGTTTTTGTAAATGAAATTTTATGGGGGCACAGCTGCGTCTCTTTGTTTATGTGTTGTCTACAACGGTAAGGTTGAAAAGTTGTGAAAGAGACCGCATGGCCCTCAAAACGTTTTGCTGATGTCTGATCTGTAATCCAATGAAAGATAAGTTACATAATGTAATAGTTAAGGAGGACTTGATGGTCAAGGTGAGAGCTGGAGTGTGTTTTGAGGAACAAACTAGATGTAAGCGACACGAATAGGACAGCGACACAGAAGATCCAAGTGTGAGAACAAACATGGGCCTCTCCAGAGAGATGCTTCATTAGCAAGAGCGGAAATTGCATGTTGGTGAGTTGGGGGAAGAAGGCTGCATCTGTAAGCTTTTGGGGCAGGATATCCCGCAGCTACGTAGGCCTGTGAGTTAGGCCTGTGGTCCCGATGTGGCATTAAGTGGAGAGGATTACAAGAGGTTTTTAGAACTTGTGGTCATAAATACACAATGCTAGCATTAAGACCTAATTGTGTCTTATGTATTATATATGATGTGGCAGTCGTAGAAATTCTGCATCATAATTCTTCATGTTTGGTATTGATTTCAGGAAGGAGCAAATATTAATAAGTCTCTTACAACTCTGGGCAAAGTCATTTCAGCCTTGGCAGAGGTGGTGAGTATTACATACCCGATTGTATGGGAAAATTTGTCTGTTCAGCAAAGGTACTTGATGATATTTTATGTGTTTATAAAGACTGACCTTTTTTGGCCCTTTTACGTAATCTTGCCTTCCTCCTTTTAGAACTTTTCAGATAAGATACTAGGCATAGTACATTTTAACTTTCTACTGAGAATAAAAGGGATTAACGAGAATGAAAGTAAATACGTCTGTAAAGGCTAGGCTGAAACTGGTTCTTTACAAAGACCTAAGGTCTGACTACTTTTTTTGAGCCTTACTTCAGTCTCTCATCGAAACTAAGGTTTTTGTTTGTTTGTTTGTTTTGTGGGTTTGTTTGTTTGTTTGTTTGTTTGTTTGTTTTTTGCATACCCTTTTCCTATACAGTCTTTTCTAAGTAGGATGTAGTACCTCTTGGAGTATTTTGAGCATTTGCCTTGGTGAATGCTATTGATTTGGGGGCCAATAATACATTTTTAAAAGTTGTGTTACTCTTTCCTATTCTTTAACAGTAGGACACTAAATCTGAAACAGTTTGTATAAGGGGCTTCATGTTTTAGGTTAAAAGCTGAGGAAGTACCAGTTAGTCACTGTGTACTCTAGTCTAGTAGTTTAGTACATCATTTGAATCTGTAAAAAGATTCCGCTGCTTTCTTGCTTGTTTCTGAAAAGTCCTACTCAATTTATGACTTTAAAGTACTTTCTGTTTGAAGGCTTATCCTGTGTTTTCATTCTTTCTTTTAAATGCTTCGTCTGTAGGATAACTGCACCAGCAAGGTATGGTGGGATTTGCTAGAAATGAACTAGCTGTAGAATCAATTGTGATGATTTTAAATCCTCAGCAGGATGTATGGAGACATAAGACGGAATGGAACCTTGAAAAAAACCTTTTTGTTACTCACTTTCTGACTCTGGAATTCAGAGTTGCTGTTTAGAGTGACCATGAATCATAAGACTTCACACCACAATTCATTTGGGGAACATGCTGTGCTTTGGACAAGGAATTCAGAATAAAGGAGCAAGAAAGGAATTGAGGAAGTGTCTACATTGTGTTATCTTATGATGCTTTTCCTAGTGATCTGTAGGACTGCCCTTTCAAGAAGTCACCTATAAACCTCTTGAAAGGGCAATAAAAATATTTTTTACAGGTACCATTCTGAAACATAGCTACCTTTGTGAAGTTATTAGGACATGTTCCTTAGATTTCTTTGTGTAATCTTATTTCCTATCATGAGAAGTCATGGATTATTTAAATTGTTAGAAACATTTTTTTCTACTCTTTGGTTATATATAAAGTGAAGGCTGTAGAATCAAGTTAAACACTATAATTGTATCTAGGAAACATACTCTTTGCATCCTTTTAATCGAAATACAATAGACTTTTCCTTATATTCCTATACAAATACTCTAAAATTTCTCAGTACTATTTTGTATAAATAATGGAGCACTTAACAGTTTGTTCTGAATCCCATGAGTAACATTGGAGATAGCAGGCAGTATCTGCCATGAAATATTTCATTCTATGTTTTAAGCATATGGGTCTGTTTATTTTCTACTTACACAAAAATTACTTCGTAACAAGTAATGCTTTTTTTTTTTTTTCTGTTTCTTTCTGCTTGTTGGAAAAAGCTGCCTTAAATTTAAAAATCTGTTATTTGTTATGATGCATGTGTAGATATTCTTCAGATATCTAGTCCGGGTCCCAGAACCATGAAAGCTGTTAGAATTTAGTGGCTTTTCCAACTTGGCCTGTCCGTTTGCTCATTGTTAACATTCACATCAACCAGAGGAAAAGTTTACAAAGTATTTATCTGCATATTTCTCTCGCTGCTCTGTGCCACAATAAATTTGCAAATGAATTTTTTAGAATGATTTTGTCAAAACCCAGTTTAGTACTTGGCATCTATGTCATTACTAACAGATCAGAAGTAAGTTTTAGTTGGTCTGTAACAAGCATCATTTAGGGTGAATTAAAATGTACTGTTACTTCCACTGGGGAGAGAAACGGGATTATTATCACCCATACTTGATGGTTTTTCTTTTTAGAAAGGTTACTGATATAAATAAACATAAACCCTTTTAGGTAATTACTGAGGAACTTCTTTGTGAGAATAGATGAGATGAATTTGTAAGACGGCAAATAGAAAAGAAGTGGCTAGAATTCTGAGGTATTGTCAAATGGAAAAGATGGAAGTTCTCCTTATGCTTCTTTATTTAGCTGCTCCTTCTTAATTTAGTCTAATTGACCGAAATGAAAACAGAACATTTTTGGCAAAGAGATACTGCTTATTTTTATGGTATTGTTTGGAGTCCTTACAACTGACGTGCTTTAAATCTTGCAGCATTTTCAGTACGAACCAACGTCAGGCAAAGCGGAGTGGTCAGGTGTGGTGTGGGGCTAGCGAAAATAGACTGCGGTCGCAGGCCTCCAGAATTTTGTAGTGGGATGACAGTCCCACTAAACTATGAATGCCTGACGCGTTAATTCTCCCTAGAGGTCTGTGCTATAAGAGACGGAATTAAAGTGCTACTTGCCAATTCCCTCTCCTCCCCAACAGACTAGAGGTCAGCTACTTAGTACTCCTTTTCTGTATGCCCGTGCTTTTGCAAGAACTAGAGCATCCTTGGGGCACCTGGGTGGCTCAGCCCGTGAAGTGTCTGACTTCGGCTCCGGTCACGATCTTGCGGCTTGTGAGTTCTAGCCCTGCGACGGGCTCTGTGCTGACAGCTTGGAGCCTGGAACCTGCTTCAGATTCTGTGCCTCCCTCTCTGCCCCTCCCCCACTCGCACTCTGTGTGTTTGTCTGTCTGTCTGTCTCTCTCTCTCAAAAATGAATAGATAAACTTTAAAAACTAGATCATCCTTAGTTTAACCTCAGATTGTACCAGGAATAGGGGGAGGTGTTTTTCAGTGAACACTGGCTTCCCCTTAGTGGCTTCTTAAATTGTCCCTACATAGTCGTCAGCTAGGAGGATGCTGCAGTAACTATTGTCTGTCTGCCAAGCGTTCACGTTAATTTTTACTTTCAAGGATATAATTTTCTCATTTTAGCACTGGCTTTGTGTTGGTGGCTTTTGCTCTATCCTGTGATAGTGAGAAAGGTCACAGCAGTATAAGTAAATGCTTGATACGTATATACAGAACATTCATCTTGCAGTCTTTATAAGTCTTCAGAGTCAAGATCACATCACTGTCTTAGACCTTTTCACTTTGAGTCCTAACTCTGTCAGTTGGATTTTTGGGGGGCATAATTTCCTTCCAAAGAAATCAAATGTCCATTACTTTATAAAAGTTATTAGAGATGGAACAGTCCACTTGTTGAATTGGTGTTTGGCCAAATAAATTCATTAACTAAATGACTTGCTCCTACACATCCAACCTGGAATGCCTAGGATTCATATTTGCCCTTCTGCAAAAGTAAAAAATAATTGCTTGAGGATTAGATATCAGGTGATGTTGAGGAGTTACTATTAATTTTGTTAATGTGTGATAATGGTTTTTATAGTTACCTTTTTGATTTTGATTAAAAAAATTTTTTTTAATGTTTTATTTTTGAGACAGAGAGAGACAGAGCATGAGCAAGGGAGGGACAGAGAGAGAGGGAGACACCCAGTCTGAAGCAGGCTTCAGGCTCTGAGCTGTCAGCACAGAGCCTGACGCGGGGCTCGAACTCATAAACCGTGAGATCACGACCTGAGCCAAAGTCGGACGTTTAACCAACTGAGCCACCCAGGCACCTCACCTTTTTTATTTTTAAAACATTTTTTTAATCTTTTTTTTATTTTTGAGAGAGAGACAGTGTGTGAGTAGGGGAGGAGCAGAGAGAGAGGGAGATACAGAATCCGAAGCAGGCTCCAGGCTCTGAGCTGTCAGCACAGAGACTGACGTGGGGCTTGAACTCACAAAGCGTGAGATCATGACTTGAGCCAGCTGGATGCTCAACCGACTGAGCCACCCAGGCGCCCCTCTAGTTACCTTTTTTTAAAAAAAAGTACTTCTCTGTTGGAGATTCATACCTGAAATATTTATAGCTGAAATGTTGGATTTGCTTTAAAACACTAGCAGCTATGAAAGATATGATATGGACAGTATATTAGATAATGGTATTGTATGGATGTTAAATTTCCTAAATTTGGTCATTGGACTGTGACTGTGTAAGAGAATGGCCTTACCTGCTTACGTATTTAGGGATGAAAGGGCATGGTGTCTGCAGTTCATTCCAAAATGGTCCAGGAAGAAAAAGCGTTAAGTGTTTGAGGGATTGGCGAAATACTGATAAGGTGGATGATCGATACACGGTAGCTCATTATACTACTCTCTAAACTTGTGTATGTTGTAAATTTTTCAAAATAAAATATTAAAGAAAAAATTACTTCATTGCATGAACTTTGGGTGTGGTGAAAAATTGAAGCCATGAGTGTTAAATTTCAGCAGTGATGGGGTTCTATGGTACTTTGCTTGGGAATTTTAGACTGGTTTGCCTTCCATGTGAATTTTTCCTGCCTAGCAATGCTAAGACCATTTCTTTCTGTTTAATAGAGTAAGAAGAAAAAGAAAACTGATTTTATTCCCTACAGGGATTCTGTACTTACTTGGCTCCTTCGGGAAAATTTAGGTACGTTGAACACTAGTGTGTGGTTATCTTTTTAAAGCTATTTACTGATTATCTTTTGTGGTTAATTGTCTTGTATATTTGTTTTGGAAAAGAATAATCTCTAGATACCCATGTTACTAACCTGACTCCTCCCTCCTTCTTTTCCTTTTTGCTCTTGAATTAAGCTGGTTGGATTTGCTCACCTTTAAATCAGAGTTTTCTCCCCTATCTTGTTGACCTTGGAACATGAACTGTGATGTCGTTGTCTTCCTAACCACACCTACTTCAAACTTTTGCTCCTTCTTCAGACCTCTTTGAAAACTCCATATTACCTTTTTGCTGATGTTTTTGGACCTTCAGGTCATTGCTCTTTATTCTCTGTTCTGTTAGCCTCCTTCCCTCCTTCCTGATGGAAAGAAGGAAATGATCAGTTGTGTCAAATGTTGGTGACGGATGGAAGAGGCTGAGAATAGTCTGTTGGACTGTCCACGTCACTGTGACTTTTCACTCACTAACAGCACTTTGGTGGAGTGGCTGAGGTCTTAGCTGGAGCGGGAGAGGGAAACTGGTCACAGTTGATTCAAACACCAAGATTAAGAGTATAACAGGGCCTGGCATAGGAACTTGAGACATTTGTCGACTCTTGGTTAAATCTTAGGATCTGAGATTGTGCTGTCTAAATTGACACATTTAATAAAGTTCTTCTTTCTAAAGTGAATATGATTTGAGATAACCATGATTCATCTTCTTAGGTGGTAATTCTCGGACTGCAATGGTTGCTGCTCTGAGCCCAGCAGATATCAACTATGATGAAACTTTGAGCACTTTGAGGTACTCCAATATGATCTCGGTAGCAAAATAGAACACTGTGCCACCATAAATCATTTTGTTATGCCATGGATTTTCTTATGATATATGGGTAATTTTTTGTGTAAGTAATGATCCAGCCCTCTCATAACAGGGAAGACATGTGTTGGGGGAGACTTCTACTGTAATAGAATTTACTTGTTAATGGCAAAGACAGGAACTTTTTCACAGGAAAGATACTAAAATTGCTCAAATGAGATGTTTGGATAACTTTTAGATAATAGTGAAAGTTTCTTACCATTTTCATCCCTGTAAAAAGAAGTGTCCCCTTCTTGTGGTGTTTGTCATTATAGAGATGCTCAAGTCTTAACAAGTAATGCAATTATGAGTATGTGTCATGTTAAAAAAAAATTACAGAATGTTCACTAATAGGACACGGGTGGCCCTTGAACAGCTCAGTGGTCATGGGTGCCTTCCCTCTGCACAGTCAAAAATCTGCATATAACTTGACTCCCCCAAAACTCAACTACTAATAGCCTACTCTTGACCAGAAGCCTTAACACAAATAGTTGATTAACTCATATTTTTATGTTACATGTATTTTATACTATATTCTTACAATAAAGTTAGTTGTAGGAAAGAAAATGTTATTAAGAAAATCATGAGAGAAAATACATTTACAGTACTGGACTGTATTTATCAGAAAAAATCAGATTATAAGTCGACCTGCACAGTTCTAACCCATGTTGTCCAAGCATCAGCTGTATATCTGTATGTGCAGTAGATTTTATTACTTTAATCTGGAGCTTTCTACTCTTCTTCCATTGAAGACACTTTTAATATAATGGAAAGAACACTATACAGTCTGACAGATTCGTTTTGAGTCCTCTTCTGGTATTTATTTCTTTTATGATTTTGGGTAAATCATTAAATTCATCTGAGCCTTTTTCTTCATCTTTATAAGATACTGTAAAACATCCTATGCATGTGTTATTATTAAGGCTTATAAAATGTGTAAACACTCAAGCTGTTTGATTTAGAGATAGAAATAATGATACGTTATTTATGAGAAGTAGAGTATCTGAGGAATGGCAAAAATGAATGTTCCTTTTTTTGATATAGATATGCAGATCGTGCAAAGCAAATTAAATGCAATGCTGTTATCAACGAGGACCCCAATGCCAAACTGGTTCGTGAATTGAAGGAGGAGGTGACGCGGCTGAAGGACCTTCTTCGTGCTCAGGGACTGGGAGATATTATCGATAGTAAGTGAATTAAGGTCAACGCAAACTCTAATCTTTCCCTCTTCAGGGTTCTTAGATTTAAACTTAGATTAAAAGAGCTTATGAAGTTAGATAGTAGGAAAAAAAGGTGGTTTTTTTTGTTTTTGCTTTTTCTTAAGTTTTAAAAAAATCCAATGAAAACGATCTCAGAATTTCTTTATGTAGTATGTACCAGGCTATCCAGTCATGAAAGTTTTTAAAGTTTTTATTGAAGTCCTTAAATTAGTTTTTAAAATGTAAATATGTCACTGCTTATATTTTTTTAAATATATACTTTTAAGTTTATTTATCTTAAGAGAGAGAGAGAAAGTGTGCACGTGCACAAGACGGGGAGGGGCAGAGAGAGGGAGAGAGAGAATCCCAAGCAGGTTCTACGCTGTCAGCACAGAGCCCAACGCAGGGCTCGATCTCATGAACTGTGAGATCATGACCTGAGCTGAAATCAAGAGTCGGATACTTAACTAAGACACCCAGGCGCCCCTCATTGCTTCTGTTTTTATTAGGTTTTCATTTTAGATCAGCAGTGAAGTTTATTTGGAATGAGCTTATTCTTACTGAGAAATTAATCACTTCATAAAAATGTTACTTGAAATTTTTGTTTTTGTATTATGTGTTTCTCTGGATTAATGTAGTAGCAATAATATATGTGTAACAAACACACTATTTCAGTCCCCTTTCAGATAAGATATACCTTTGAGTGGTATCTTTCCCTTCCTGCAAAATGACTGAGGAACACTCTCCACCTTGCTCCCTCTGAACACACAAAGGGGAAATTATCCATTTCCTATCAAGTTTAAGAATGAGACTTCCAGAGAATATTATTTCACAGTATTGTCTTAAAATAAGTCTTCTTGGGGGGCACCTGGGTGACTCCATCGGTTAAGTATCCGACTCGATTTAGGCTCAGGTCATGATCTCGTGGTTTGTGAGATCAGGCCCCACGTTGGGCTCCACGCTGACAGTGCGGAGCCTGCTTGGGATTCTTCTTCTCTCTGTGCCCCTCCCCACTCACACTCACTTGCTCTCCCAAAATAAATAAACTTAAGAAAAATATATATTTTTTTAACCTCAGTATTCTGCCTGACTAATGTCTAATCAGAAGTTGAGTTAACTGGATGATTTGGGTAGAATATTATATGGGTTTATTTGATAAAGCATGTTTTTAGTTTTTAAGTAAAAAATTAATATTCTATTGTTTGGAATTCTAGTAAGATGTTAAAAGCCTCTGAGTTTAGTTCTTCTTACTGATTAGCACCTGAGTTTGAGTGAATACAGTGTGCAAAATGATCATATATTCCGAGTGTTAATTTTTTCACCTTCCCAAATGCCAAATGCTGCTCTGTTCCCTCTCTGTGTCACTGCTGAACCTGAACTTTGACCCTTCTTGTATTTTCCCTCCTGCTTACCTTCAGTTGATCCATTGATCGATGATTACTCTGGAAGTGGAGGCAAATGTGTGTATTTCATGTATTGGTTATTTCCAGTACTCTGATTTGCTAATCTGCCTCTGCTGGATCAGCCTTAAAATGAGCTTTGCATGCCAGCAATCCTAACAGGGAAATCCCAGACAGAGCATATTATAGGTTCAGAAATGATCCTGGTTTAGCCCTTCTCCATTTGGCAAACACACTGCTGAATTTCAGTTTCTGGATTAAATAGTTAATAGGCTTGAGAATCTCTTCCTACTTCTACTCTTCAGTTTTTCCACTTCTGTGATTAAACTGAATCCAAAGTCATAGCGGATGATGGTGGTGACAACAGCAACTCACATATCCTGAGTGTTTATAAAATGCTGGGCCCCATTCTAGGGACCTTGAATGTATTATCTCATTTAATCCTGTCACTGATTCTGGAAAAATTCCGTTATGCCCACTTTTACCCATGAGGACACCGCTTACCTGGGGTGGTTAATTTGCTACTGAGATCTCATGGTTTCTGTGTGGTTGGATTGGATAGTGTAAGTCAGCTCCAGCTTTTAATCATTACTATGCCTTTTTGGCCTCTTGAGCTCCTTCAGGGTCTGATTAATAGAAAGATACTTTTAAATTAGCTATATAACTCTGAAACGTAGTGTACATATAATTAAAAACAACCGCTTGTGGTTGGCCAAACGATCCATGACTGAGTAGCTCTGTGAATGTTGGGTTAGCACTCACCTGTGCTTATGCTAAGTTAGTTTCCTCCATATCTTGGGCCTCAGCTTACATGGTGATTAGGAAAACTTTTTTGTTTTCCTTTTCTGGAATTACAAATTAAATTTAAAATGTGTGCTTGAAATGAGGATATTTTATGAAGGATCATAAATACCTAGACACCTCGTTGTCCTCTCCATGTATATCATTAAGTTGGTGAGGACGTGGTTTCTTACCCTTTCCATGAGGGGATCTTTATCTTAGAAGAAATGAAGAATCTTGACTTCTTGGTTAGGTTCAGATTTTAATTGATTTGCTTGTTCATTTAATGAGGCATGTAATAGGGCTTGACCAGGAGGACACACACAGGAGAAAGCAAACGCAGCCCTGGCTGCTGTGATGAGGCTAGGCCTTGCGGACACAGTAAGACTCCAATACTCAGTGGCTCTTGGACCAGAACAGCTCTGTCTGAGATTTCCGAAGCTGACCGATACTGATGTGAGAAAGACGCCATCTTGCTCCTGCTTTTGTGCCCCAGGTGGTGCTGCTATCAGCTTGTTGCGTCACTCTTTTCTGAGCAGTGTGGCATCTCCCAAAAAGCTATGCATGACGAAGTTTTAATTTTGTATCCCTGCAGGAAAGCAGCCCTGACTACTTACGAATTTCCATTTCGGTCTACTACTCTTAATGTCTTTTAGGGCTTGCATGTGTCCATTGGACCTTCTAAACTCCATCCATCCTATTCTTTCTGACCTTGCCGCCGTCACCTGATGGCTGATTTTTTGCTCCAGTTCCCATCCCCCTTTTAAAACGTGCTTGTTTTCCTATGTTCTCTATTTGCAGATGGTGGTTTTCAAACTGTCTTGAAGCAACCACTGGTTTTAAGGGGTTTCAAGAACTGGCTTTGATTAAATAGAGATGAGTAGACCCAGAGAGAGCAAATAATACTGCTTTCTGACTCTTTGACTCATATCATTTAAGGAAAACTTAACTTAGTTTTGATACAAGTTTTAAGTAATGCCGACTTTCTCAAATTTAAATATGAGCTAATTTTAAAATAGAAATCCCTCAGTACCCATGGGTTTTCTCTGGTGTCTGCGACAAGGATGACAAATGAATGAAAGTACGTAGAGCAAATTAATTTTGTTGTTTGTGGCTCTTTTTATCAAAACTAAATTTAAAAACAAAACTTAGAGTTCTGTTAAAGACTTTTTAGTAAGTGAAAGTATGTCCCTGAAACTTGCATTTCATACTGGCAACTCGGCCTACCAGTGACTCGTGGTAGTCCTGTTAGGCAAAGTAAGAGCTGTACTTTGCAATAGTTAGCAAATAATCAGCCTTGATTTGCTTGATCTAATAGATGAATGAAAAGCATACCAACTTCATCAATTTGCTGATTGTTTTTCCCTGTTGAGGCAATTGGCCCTGAGTTCTTAATCAGAACTTACACAAAATTCTTGTGATTTCTGCAATTACCTCTCCTTTTTAAAAGCATATTTTAAAGGTCCTTTTTAGCATGTTGAAATGCTGCTATACGAAGGATACTACTGAGTGCTCAGATTTTTGTTTTAACTGTAGCATCTTCTTGGGAATTTTTGCTGAATGCCATAAAATACTGGGCCAGGTTAATATTATTGGTAAATATGTGATCATCTTTTTTTCCTTTACCATGATAAATTACTGAGATTTAAGAGTAGTGTAAATTTAAAACATTGTAGATTCAGAGCCGTAGAAGGAATAGAAGGAATGTAGCATGTTTTATTTACAGAGGGTGCCTGAACATTATCCTTTGAGGCTCTGGTTACCCTCTACCAAATACAATGTTAACCCACACTGGAGTTTCTTAGTTTCTAAATTCAGAAGTGGTTCTTCACCTCTACGATACCAGTATTAAAGACAGACATGTTTTAGAACTGCCATCTAGAACAATTATAACTTGTCTTTGTATCATAACGTGTCTGTCTTGGCGCTTTAATGCTCTCCTTTCTTACGCTGGTGTTCCTTCCTGTCTTTTTTCTCCCTCTGCTCCTTTCCCCCCTCTCCACTTTTTCTGCCTTCCCTTCTTTCTGTCTCCCAGATCTGAAAGATTTTCAGAACAATAAGCATAGGTACTTGCTAGCCTCTGAGAATCAACGCCCTGGCAATTTTTCCACAGCGTCCATGGGGTCTCTTACTTCATCTCCATCTTCCTGCTCACTCAGTAGTCAGGTGGGCTTAACATCTGTGACCAGTATTCAGGAGAGGATCATGTCTACACCTGGAGGAGAGGAAGCCATTGAACGCCTAAAGGTAAGTAATACCTCAGACTGAATGAAAGGTGTTCTGTATAGTTCCATAAGGCAGAGTTAGGACTTAAAAACCACTGAGATTTTTGTTGAGGATATGGAAGAACTTTCTAACCCCTAGAGGTGTCCTGAAAATGGAATTTGCTGCTTCATGATATCATCAGTTGCTTTTCACCAGAATGCTTGAGTCTGACATGGCCAGACAGAGATGAGAGAGATGCATGGGGAGATCAGAGGTTGGCCATGCAAGTAACTGATAAGTAGATATGTCCTTTAATTCTGAGGTAGTTTATAAGCCATAGGGAAATTGTTTAGTTAGAAATTTAGTGGGAAACTAATTTGTTAGAAGCACTTGGTTTCATTTGAAGATTGAATTCTGTGTAGAGCCGTGTGTATGTTAGTAAAGTACGCAGTCAAAAGTTTGGACATGTGAGTAGCTGTACCAGGTTTATTCAGAACATGTGAAATGATAACTTCTGGAAGTTCATAGGAAGTCTTGGGCCCTATTCACACGGCTGTGGAAGGGCTGCCCGCCTCCTGGGCCGGTGCTCGTGGGGTCATGGGCCTCAGTGCCATGCTGTGCACCTGCATTGTGTGCTCACAGGTCCACCTGCAATGGCGCCCAGCTTTGCTTCCCCAGGCTGTGGTTGGCTCTGTTGGGTACTTTCTTGTCTTTCTCCATGAGTATAAAAGTGAGCAGTAGTGGTGCCTGCTGACTCCTGGCTCCCAGGTCCTTCCTGCCCCTCAGTGACTGCAGTGAGAACAGACTGTGCCATCTATCAGGTCACTGTGACAGCATCACAAATGCTTTTTCTTTCCCTGCCCATTACCTCCAGGGTGATCGTTTGATCCACCACGCCTTTGGGACTTTGTATTCCCAAGTATGGGGGGGGGGG